ACGCTGCTTGCAGCTTTAATGTTGAGATGTTTTTCCTCCAGCAGCCCCATCTCCCACTCATAAGGCTAATCACGCCTTTGTGCAAAGCTGCTATATACTGCCTGAACAGAACGTGGAAAAGACATTAATCATATGCTCAGGGATGTTCCTAAACTGTTCTGCCTCCTATACAAAAGGAATGGAAAGATAATGAGACATGGAAAAAAAGTGGAAAGAGACAAGGGAACGGTGGGGGAGAGGGAGAGAGAGGAGGAAAGAAAGAGCTCTTCCTACCGCCGGTAATTAATCAGTACAGTAGCCGTATGCTGCCAGCCTGCGCAATCATAATTAATTACACACAAGAGCGCTCTTGGAACAGGAAGAGGACGGTGGAGAGAGGAGAGCAGGAGGATAGGAGGAATAAAGGGATTCTGTTCACACTAGGAGATTAGAATGTGGAGGGCAAAGAGAGAAATACTGAATGTTCAGACTTTACAACATTCTACCCATCTTTTTTGGCTGGCAAAAGCTGAGATTTTTTAGGAGGTACTCCAGTGATTTAGTATTACACTTCCATAAAGTCGGAGGTCTTACAAGAGACAGAATCATCAATATTGATGCAGCAAAGGTCAAGCTATCCTGACTTTTATACGTAGTATGGAGTAAAACTCTGAAAACAATCAATCCTACATTTCCCAAAATGCAAATCTATAGCATATCTTTATTAGTCCCTCTCTGGCTGGTAAACAGAAATGGCTTTTAAACTCCTCACCTCCAGCTGTAACACAGGGTTTGTAGTCTGTAGTTCTGTAGAGGTTGGTTTTTATTTTAAGAAGCAAGTTGGTTTAAACGTTAAACGTTAAGGATGTTTTCACATTCATCCTGCTGAGAGTGGAAAGTTCTTCTGAGCTCATTGTAAATCCAATTATCGAGGATGATTTAATGACATCACAAATGAGTTAGGAATCAGTCTGGTCCAGTATACAACTTGTACAGTGTGATGTAGAAATTGAAGCCACCAGTGCACAGGTCCACTGAGAATGGACTTTACAGTGAAAGGAATCTTGTGTCCAGCAGGAAACTTTGAAATTGAACAACATTTACATATTCAACATTTTTTTTGTTTTAAAGAGGTAGAAGGACGAGATTAGTTTTTAAAGCTTTTAACAAGATAATTGAACTTTTTAGGTTCAAAGAACATATGAGATACAAATAATTATTAAAAGTAGAGCAATCTATATACATGTAAAAACATGGAGGGGCTCTTTAAGAAGCAAGTAGGTAAAACAGATTTTGACCTGGACCTTTTATGTCCCCATCATTATTGTGTTTTCTGTAAGAAGATTATTATATTAAATCGAAGATTTTAAGTAAGGCTAACTCAATTGTGTAAGTTAAAAAACATCAATTAGCTTTGGTAATTTTAAGTGACACTGACTTAATTTTGTAATTTTAATTAGTATTGTGAAAAAAAAGTACTTATTAATGTTTCTGTAACTTACAAAACTAAGTTAGTGTCACAATAACTAGTAAAAGCTTGTTGGTTATGGGCTTTTCATTGGATTTGTTGAAAATAAGAAAAATATACACAAAAAAATAATTTGTTCGAATCCACAGCACCTGCTCCAACAATCAAATCACACCTGTGACTAATGCATTTTTAACATTTTTGGTAGGTTGGAAATCGCAGAAAAGTTGGAAAGAGAGTTTCCATCATATCGGCAGTAATTGTCCAGCCACACACACACACACACACACACACACACCTCTCCCTCTCTGTATCTCAGTATCACTGCCAAAACACTTACCCTCTTCTCATCTGTGACAATGTAGTGGCGGCCGTGCTTCTTGGTCAGATGTGGTGCCAGGACATCAAAGCGCCGGCGGAACTCAGAAAACACCATGTGGTCTGGGTATCCTGGAAGCAAGGAGGGAGCAGAACAGAGATGAGAGCAGAAAACACCAAGGTTAGAAGAACATCTGCAGCTAGTGGACAGCCAACAGCGTGTCACTGGTCAACTTTTATTTTCAAGAAATTCAGAAATACAAAAAAAAAAATCCCACTTAAACAGACTAAAGAGCAAAAAGTCAAAGTTGTGAAGGTCTGAGATATAGAAATATACAAGGTTACATGGGTTTCTCAAGCTTTTAGAGAGCTACAGACAGTAAGAAACCTATAGGACGAGGCATTGGCACAAAGGGCTAAAGGATCGAAAAGCTTACACTTTTGAAAGACGACATTAGAGAGTAATTGGGCATTTTGACAGTAACAGCAATGAGTCGAAGGTTATTGGAAACCTTTTCAGATTTTCTTTTTCTGGAAGTTCAATTCATCACTCGATTAAAATTATTTATTTATTGATATCAGAAAGACAGATGAGTCATTAAGAGTTTGAGAGCTGGTTAAACTATAACTTCTATACCAGACAGTACAATCATCAGTCGTGTGAGTTAAAGGTTTTGCTATGTCAGACTTTATTCACCACCTCATGTGAGCATAAAAACATTTAGATTTTTAAATGTTGCCATTTCTATCAACCTTTTCTCATGCAATACTTCAAAATTTAAAATACAATGATGGAAACACTGCTCTTGAGTGAAATGAGAGATTGAGTGTTGATAAGTCATCACAGAGTTACTGTCGTCTCGAAGTGCAAGTATGGCAGTGTCATCAGAATACGTCAAGCATGTGGTGATGGGAGATGAGCTTGTGCAGCCATTACTAGAGCAAGTGGCCGACGACACAGCCTTGTGGAGCTCCGGGGTTGGTGGTGTTTGAGCTAGCATTGGTCTCAGACGGGGGATGATACTTCAGTTTTAGCAGGTTGTAAGAGTCACAAAATAAATAAAGTTACCAGCAGCTAGTTGGAACACTCTGTTCCATGGGTTGGATGAAAATCAATTAAAGAAGTTCCATTCAGGCCAGCCCATACCCCATTTTATGGGTCAAGCTACAAAATTGCCAGATCCTACATTTCCCACCATGCAACCAATAATAATATTTCATTTGACCGTTTGAATTTTTCAAATTTTAAACCATCACTTTGTAACACACTTTCTGTTATAAAGTGCAGTCTCTCAGTCACATCCCACACAACCGTGATGACATTGTTAGTTATGTTCTCTTCCAGAGCCACAGAAACATCACACTACTGTTCTCACAGACTGAGTAGTACTCCTCTGTTAAATTGACCACATCGTTTAAATTTCACAGAAAACAATTGCCCATGATTCCTTAAGTACGTCATTACCTTGTCTGTAGATGCGCAGTGCATCCAGCAGCTTGGATCCTCTGAGCTGAGCTCTCAGGAGGCCCACGTCCAGAGTCATAAGGCCTGAGTCGGGGCTCTCTCCGTGCGTCACGCGGGGCTCACCTCCTCCACCCACTGCCTCTGCTTTGGGCAGCAGGCAGTGGACGAAGTGAACCCTGGAGCGACGCACCATGTCAATCAGAGCATCCTAATAACAGAAAAGCGGTGAATCAGATATCAGCGTCTGCTTGTTGAAAGAACAGCAACAAAGTCAGTGCAACAACTCTATGTGTCTTCTTGTAGTTTAATCCAATATTCTCCTCACATTGTGGCAGTCTGTGGCTGATCGCAAACCAGCAGTCTACATGCAACATCCAATAGCTGCATGAAGAATCTCAAGATTTTTTCAAGCTCTGCACACCCACACAGGTGCTGTCCATTACTCTGGCTGATTACACCTCTAGTCAGGTTTAAGTTGACTGGAGCTATGCTGGAAATTACATGATCATGTCATCACCAAGCTTGATGTAGCGATAAAGAGTTGTTCTTAACATGTACAACAAAACATTGTACAGTAAAGACAATGTCAATAAATGCAGTTTGTACATGTCCACACTGTTGTGAGAGGAAGTGTATTCAGGCATCATGAATGAAAACACCTGTGTGGGTGGACTATGTACAGGGGCATTAAAAATATAATTAACATGTCCTCAGTCGCAAAACCTCAAACCTTAAAATGCCTTTACTCAATTTATATACTTACATAATAAAACTCAGGATATTGGCTGAGATGCGTAAAATCCAAATCATTCTTTAAACATTTCTCAGCACTTAACGATTATGCAAATGTTCATTTAGGTCTTCTAGATAGTGTAAAACCTGTGTTGATGAAGTGTAAAACATCCATCCGTTAGCCAGTGTCTATCTAACCCGCTTATCCTTTGGAGGGTTGCGGGGGAGCAGCAGCTGATCCCATAGTTTATAACAGTGACTAGAAATCATGATTTAATATGTATCAGCCACTCCAGATCTTACTCTTGAGACTCAGTTCGTTAAATTCAGTGTTTCTCAAAACACCCTGCCACAGCTATAACACTAACACACTAAAACACTTCAAACACCCCCAGCAGACTTTGGAGTACTGCAGGTGGTAAAAAAGTTTTATTTAATAATATCAGTTATGCATGATTTCTAAAATTCGAAAAAATTTAAATGTAAGTTTGGCAAACCACATTTTATATTCAATATTCCTACTTTCAATA